GGTAGTTGTATGCTTACCCAAAAGTAATGCCAGTAGTTTTTCTGTATGAAACACATGAAAATGCATCAGCCAGAGGATATTCTTTTTAAAAAGAGAAAATTTAGCGTTCATCCATCCTGTTGAGTAGTTTTCTGAAGGACAGTTACAAAATGGTTATTCAAAATGTTAAATACAGACACTGTAAGGAATTTATTTCTTTTATTTTCTTAATTTAAATTTTTTTTTTTACTGTGCAACACAGCTGGAATTCTATTAAAAATCTGAATTTAAATTAGACTTAGCTAAACTAACACTCATCTCAGTTTAAATGATTTCTCTGTGGTCCAACACTCGAATCCACCAATGAGCAAACTCAGCTACAGTGTTTGTGAGTATGTGACTCTAAATACTCTGATTTACAGAATCTGGACTCAGATGACCTGAACTACGCAGCTCTACGTTTCCAGGCGAAACCAAAAAGAAACCACAGACCTGCACCAGAGAGAGAGCTGGAGCCACATGTTGTGTATGCTGCCACCAGATAGACTCAACTGGGACTGTAGCTCTGAGTGGAACTGATGCTTTATCACATTAATCTGCTGTTGTGTTTTTATGTGTGAGTAGTGGGGGGAAGGAGTCCAAAAATAAACTTTGATTCTGTATTTTCTCGCTCATGTCTCTTTCTGTCTCTCTCTCTCAGTCAAAGTGTCTGTCTTTCTGTTTTAGTCTGAGAGGAAAAAGAGTATGCTTAATGTGTGATGGACGACGATTCAGAAAGGACACTGATAACTGTCAAACTTATTTATAGAAAGTGAAATGGTTTTTGGTGGGAGGGGTTAGTGAGGTACACACCACTTGTTTGTCAGGAAGCGACAGCACAGTGTGGTCTGAGAACAACTGAGGTGAAAATCATGAGACCTCTGAAGCCAAAGCTCAGTGGAAAGTATAAAAGGAAGCAGTGAAAACTAACTTCTTCTGATGAATTTCAACTAGCTGCTGTAAAGAGAACTTTTTTTTGAAAAACATGACATAAAATAGCAATAGAATAAACCACCCATACACCCACGAAAAAAAATGGGGCATTAATTTAGAATGGCCAAACTGTGATGATAAGACAATTGCTCATAGTGGATCTGATGAGGGTGAAAACACCAGTGACCCCTGTTTCCATCCAGGGGGTCCCTGTGGATACCAACAGACTTAACAAACTGATCAGGAGGGCCGGTGATGTCGTGGGGGAGGAGCTGGACACTATGACGACCGTGGCAGAGAGGAGGATGCTGTCCAGGCTTCAGTCCATCTTGGACAATGTCTCACACCCTCTCTACGACACACTGGCCCACTAGAGGAGCACCTTCAGCCAGAGATGGGGACTTTAGTTTGCGACTCGGACTTGAGTCGCACTTAAGTCGCACACACAAAGACTTCAGACTCGACTCGGACTCGTGTTTTGGGACTCTTGAACAATCATTATGTTTTAATTTTTGGCGTATAAATATTGAGGAAATTCTGAAACGTCTGATGAGCTTAATGTGATTCTTTCCTTTCTTTCATGGTAACCATGGTAACCATATTACGCATTGGGTGCGTGCCTTGCGGCCTCACACACTAGTACCTCGGATGACGACTATGGCGCCAGGCGGCACACGTGCAGCTACTGCTGTACCATTTGTGATTGCATTTGGTTGTAAAAACTTCAAACAGGACGGCACCAACAAAAGGAGCGCTGACTGCAAAGTCTGCAGTACCCGAATCAAGGATGCTGGATCCACCACATCAAATTTTATCAGGCACCTGAAAACTCACCCAGATAGGTCAGTCACATTAGCGCATATGGACGGTTAGCTCAGCATCAGCTATGTAACGTTCACTTAGCTTATTAATTACTAGCTTTGTAACTGAATATTTGAATAGATGAGTGAATGTTAGTTTGCTTGTCGCACTTGTTTGCATTGAGTGGCGTTGACATGACGTAAAAAAAAAAAAGGTCGGGTAACGTTAATCATCTACGTTGCCACCAATACGGTTGCAGAGTGCAAACCTTGGATGATTGGTTATTATTGCATGACTAATAATGTTAGATTTACAAGATTACAAGATTACTTTATAAGTCCCAGAGTAACATGCAGTGAAATGTCTCCTGGTTACTCCTAAACTGGCCTTATAAATAGAATAAATAAGATAAATATGAATAAAATCAAACTAATATGATGTAATTAATGTAATTAAATATAATCTAAATAATGTAATCAGAAATTAAAATATGTGCAAGGGTGTGTGTATGTGTGTGTGTCAGGCTGAGTCCTGGTGGTGGGGGGAGTGGTCAAGTTGAGTTCTGGTTCAGGGGTCTAATGGCCTGAGGAAATAGCAATATTTTCCTGTTACCCTGAGTTAGTCTACATCTCAGCAACCCTCTCTATAATCAGAAATAAAAGATTGATATATAGCCTGCAACATTAGTTTAGATCCAGTTTTTCTCTCAGAAACATGTGGTTCCAGATGTGTTTTGCTACACATAAAAATGTGAGCTATATCATCCAGATCTTATTACTATAATTAACAGCCTAATTTTCCATGTTATTCATCTACAGGTTTTCTGGATTCAACAGAGCGAAAAAAGTGGCCAGTGGCAGTGCAGAGGGACAGAGCAGCCTTTCTTAACAAAACCAGGTGTGCCGATATACAGCCAGGGCCATCCCAGGCAGAAGGTCATTACTGAATCCATAATACAGGATCTCATCATTTCATGCAATCTGCCTCTGTCTTTGATTGACAAGCCTAGCTTCAAGAAGTTCATGTCAGTGGTAGAGGAGAGATACTGCCCAGTAAGTGACCGGATAGCAGCAGATGACAGAAGGCTCATTACAAGCAGAAGAGACATATGACTTTTATTTTTTAGAGACTTGAGACTTGACTTGGACTCGTGACCAAAGACTTCAGACTTGACTTGGACTTACAAAAAAGGACTTGTGAACATCTCTGCCTTCAGCAGAAGACTCCTCTCACCAAGATGCACCACAGAGCGCCACAGGAAATCATTCCTGCCTGTGGTCATCAAACCATACAACACCCCCTAAGAGATTCAGACACCCCCTCTCTGTAATCTGACTCAAACATAGACAATCATTTTTTGCACTTTTAGCACATTATTACTGTACATTTGATCTTTTTTATATATTTTGTTCTTAATATATGTTGTTTGTATAATACATGTTGTTTGTATATCTGGAGTTTGTACCAAAAATAATTTCCCCCTGGGATTATTAGAGTATTTCTGATTCTGATTCTGATTCTGATTGCAGTGGCACAGTTATACGCACAATGAAGAGCTTTACTTTAATAACAGCTGTACTTCTCTGCAGCCTCAGTAAGTACTGCTATTGAATTATTCTGCCAGCAAATACAAGTCTTACCTCTCTTTTGTCCAGTGTAGAGGTATGTTGTTGGTTTATCAGCTTATGAGTAAATCTCATGTTTTCTCCGCTGTGTGTTTCAGGCTGGATCTCTGTCTCAGGTTCTGAGTCTCAGACTGTGGAGGTTCAGCCTGGTGAAGATGTCACACTGCTGTGCTCCAACATTTATAGAGTTACAATTCAGGTGGAGTGGTTCAGAGTGACCAATAGAACCAAACCCAGCTGTATATCCTATCTGTACAGTGCTGATGGTAAAGTTGGCAAAAAGGTAAAATACTGTGATGAATTTCAAAATGGAAAATATAAAATGAGCTTGAACGTCTCGACTGTTTTTCTTCAAATCAAGCAAGTGAATCTACATTTAGAATGGCCAAATTGTGATGGCAAGATGACTGGGTCAGAGCATCTCCAAAACTGCAGCTCTTGTGGGGTGTTCAGGGTCTGCAGTGGTCAGTACCTATCAAAAGTATGTTTGTATGGGGCTGCATAACATTATGACCACCAGAGTGCCCAGGTGGTCATCATGTTATTGCTGATCCATGTACATGATTCTGCACAGTGAAGGTCAGACATCTAACGGAGGTAACATTTAACAAAACATATTTTTATAAAATGCTTTAGAGCAGAATACTTTGGTAGACAGAGGTCTGTAGTGCCTCCTGGAGGAGACAAGATTAACTATGGTGTGAGCAGAAGTCAGATGTGATTTCAGTATGCCCTTCAGTTAGCCTGTTTGGTTATACATACCTTACAGTGCAGCGATGATGATGATCTTGGAGGATCAACTAATTGCACATTACATGCAGAGAAAGAATGACAGTGTGCACATGCAAAATGTCTCCCTTGGCTCTAATAAATGGAGCTGTGGGTACTTACAATGACTGTGTTCTGTCTATCAATCAGTGACTGTTTGTTCTATCGACAACTCTCTCTGTCAGTAGAAGAACTCACACAACACAGAAAGAGAGTGGAAATGTATCTCTAGCTCCATCAGGCTGCCCACTGGTGCTCCTCAGGGCTACATACTCGGCACAGTGCTATTCAGACTGTTTATACCAAACTGTCGAACAAAATCCAGTTTCAGTCACGTCAATAAGTCTGCTGAAGACATAGTAGAGGCAGACTGTATCTGCAACACTAATACAACAAACAAATAAATGGCACCTCTGTGCTGAGAGTCAGGGGCGCAAAAGTGGGGTTAGTCCCCTAACACCACCCCCTATGACTTGCTGATTTGATTACTGGTTTATTATTGTGTTGTTCATGTTTTACTGTCCGTGCACCTCGGCTCCAGAGAGGAACAACTTGTCGTTCTAATGGCATACTTGAATACAGATGAATAACAACAATCTTGCAGGTGATTTTTACTGTCTGAGCTGCTGTATCAGACTGTTTTCTTCCATGATGGCTGTATAAAACTGTATAAATGGCAGAATAATTGTAACTTGATGCCGTCTGAAATTCTTTGAGGCATATGTTTGTCTCAAACAGCATCAGCAACAGATATTTGGTGATGAATGATTTGAGTTTCTTTACATGAACTATATGAATACTCCGCCCCTTTCCACTGATATAAAGTGCTCTTGCTGTGGCACGGTTATACGCACAATGAAGAGCTTCACCTTAATAACAGCTTTACTTCTCTGCAGCCTCAGTAAGTACTGCTATTGAATTATTCTGCCAGCAAAAACAATTCTAACCTCTCTTTTGTTCAGTGTAGAGGTATGTTGTTGGTTAATCAGCTTGTGAGTAAATCTCATGTTGTCTCTGTGTTTAGGCTGGATCTCTGTCTCAGGTTCTGAGTCTCAGACTGTGGAGGTTCAGCCTGGTGAAAATGTCACACTGCTGTGCTCCAACATTTATAGAGTTACAATTCAGGCGGAGTGGTTCAGAGTGACCAACAGAACCAAACCCAGCTGCATTTCCCATCTGTTCAGTGCTGATGATGAAGCTGGTAAAAAGGTAAAATACTGTGATGAATTTCAAAATGGAAAATATAAAATGAGCTCCAACGACTCCACTGTTTTTCTTCTAATCAAGCAAGTGAATTTATCTGACTGTGGACTGTATTTCTGTGGATTTTACCAAAATGGATACACCGTCATTTCCACTGCAACATATTTAAATGTTAAAGGTAAGTTTGTAATTAAATATTACTTTTTATAAAGGTCTTATTATATTTACAATATATCTCAAATGTATTGTCACAGTATGAAAGCAGCATAAAGTCAAACAAGTAACCAAAACATTTCGTATGGTTTGATCGTCTTTTAAAGGTGATGGTGAATCTGATGATGAAGTGGATTTTCACACTGACAGTAAAGTTTTCCTTTCCTCTCTTAAGATTATTTTTATTGTGCAAGTTATCATAGGGCCATTCATTTTGAAGAAAACACGGATTAAACAGTCTAAATCAACCATTTTAGGTATGATAGTCGAGGCTGATGGAATGACAACCCTAATGAGTGTGATCCTCGGTGGTCTGACTGCTGTCCTCACTATAGTCATCATTGTTCTGGCTGTTAAAATCAGGAAACTTCAGACAGGTACAGTACATTTATAATTTGTTGCACATCATCTAGTGAGCTGTGTCAACATGACGGACAAATCCAAAGTAAAGTATGTGATCAGTAATAATGAACTAATCAGACTTTTGTCTTTTGTCATTTAGCTGTGAAGGAAGAAGCACAGCCAGAAAGAAACAAGGTGAACCCACCATTAACTTACACAAACTGTGTGTTATGGTTTTAAAGTTGCATTTGAACACATGATGAGTCTGTTAATGATCTTTGTCCCGAGCTGCTGCAGGTGGAATCAAACAGCAAATTCAGACAGGCAGCTGCCATCTTCAAACTGTAAACTGACAGTTAAAGTTCATTAACTTGAAGCAAAAACGTGATTAACTTCATAATTTTCAGCAAAGAAAAGGAAAAAATAGAAAGGTTAACATTGGGCTTACTCAGAATGTGAACAAATGCTAGTTGTGTGCTTACCCAAAAGTAATGCCAACAGTTACCTTGTTTTTTCCATGTGAAACACATGAAAATGCATCAGCCAGAGAATATTCTTTTTAGAAAGAGAAAATTGAGTGTTCTGCCATCCTGTTGCATATCGTTTTCTGAAGTACAGTTACAAAATGGTTATTTTGAATTTTAAATATGGACATTGTAAGGTATTCTATTTGCTTTGATGTTCTTAACTGATTTCTTTGTGGTCCAACACTCAAATCCACCAATGAGCAAACTCAGCTACAGTGTATTCTTTTTCCGTTGTTGTTTTTGCAACCTAATTTTAAATGATTTACCGTTTTTACTTGTTTACATTACATTGTGCATCACAGCTGGGCTTCCAATAAAAATCAGCATTTAAATTAGACTTAGCTAAACTAACACTCATCTCAGTTTAAATGATTTGTTTGTAGTCCAACACCCGAATTCACCAATGAGCAAACTCAGCTACAGTGTTTGTGTGTATGTGACTCTAAATACTCTGGTTTACAGAATCTGGACTCAGATGACCTGAACTACGCAGCTCTACGTTTCCAGGCGAAACCAAAAAGAAACCACAGACCTGCACCAGAGAGAGAGCTGGAGCCACATGTTGTGTATGCTGCCACCAGATAGACTCAACTGGGACTGTAGCTCTGAGTGGAACTGATGCTTTATCACATTAATCTGCTGTTGTGTTTTTGTGTGTGAGTAATGGGTGGAAAGAGTCCAAAAATAAACTTTGATTCTGTATTTTCTCGCTCATGTTTATTTCTGTCCCTCTCTCGGTCAAAGTGTCTGTCTTTCTGATTTAGTCTGAGAGGAAAAAGAATATGCTTAATGTGTGAAGGACGACGATTCAGAAAGGACACTGATAACTGTCAAACTTATTTATAGAGAGTGAAATGTTTTTTAGTGGGAGGAGTTAGTGAAGTTCACACCACTTGTTTGTCAGGAAGCGACAGCAAAGTGTGGTCTGAGAACAACTGAGGTGAAAATCATGAGACCTCTGAAGTCAAAGCTCAGTGGAAAGTATAAAAGGAAGCAGTGAAAACTAACTTCTTCTGATGAATTTCAACTAGCTGCTGTAAAGAGAACTTTTTCGAGAAACATGACATAAAATAGCAATAGAATAAACCACCCATACACCCACGAAAAAAATGGAGCATACATGCAGAAGGGACATATTGTGATGGCTAGACAACTGGGTCAGAGCATCTCCAAAACTGCAGCTCCTGTGGGGTGTTCCTGGTCTGCAGTGGTCAGTACCTATCAAAAGTTTGTTGGAATGGGGCCGCATAATATTATGACCACCAGAGTGCCCAGGTGGTCATCATGTTATTACTGATTGGTGTATGTGATTCTGCACGGTGAAGGTCAGACATCTAAGTGAGGTAACATTTAATCAAACATATTTTTATAAACTACTTGAAGCAGAATGGTTTAATAGATAAATGGAGCGAAGCCTGCAAGCTCGTTCAGGCAATCAACTCGAGCAGTGCTGCTATACATACATGACATGCCTTATTCCATAATCACTAACCAAGCAAACCCTTTCAATCTGGCGGTCTATTTAAACTGCAAAATTTCTCAGCTCTCCCTCTGCTGCGTCAATGCTGCCGTTGCCTTGCATCACATCGCTGCTACTCTGTAAGCTATTGCTGCCTGCTGCGCTGTAAGCCCCTCCACCACCCCAGCATCCACCTGTAGGCTCCGGCTAGGGGTTAAGGTATTTGCGCATCACTCCCTAATATCTCTATGTAAACATATCTGCGGGGAGTGATGAGGTCGGAGCTTGGATGCCAAAATCTAAATATGCTATACTGCTTTAATAAACAAATCGACATGAGTTGTCTGACTGAAATGTTTGAAGTGCTTCCTGGAGGAGACTAGATGAAATATGTGGTGAGCAGAAGTCAGATGTGATTTCAGTATGCCCTTCAATAAGCCCTGTTTGTTTATACATACCTTTACAGTGCAGCGATTCAGCTCAGTAGAGAGTGAGATGGTGATCTTGGAGGATCAACTGATTACACATTCCATGCAGAGGGATAATGGCAGTGGGCACATGCAAAATGTCTCCCTTAGGTCTCATAAAAGGAGCTGTGAGTACTTACAGTGCTTGAAGTGACTGTATTCTGTCTACACCTCCCTCTGTCAGTAGAAGAACTGACACAACACAGAGAGAGAATGGAAATGTATCTCTAGCTCCATCAGGCTGCCCACTGGTGCTCCTCAGGGCTACATACTCGGCACAGTGCCATTCTGACTGTTTACACCAAACTGTTCGAACAAAATCCAGCTTCACTCATGTCAGTAAGTTTTCTAAAGACATAGTAGAGGCAGACTGTATCAGCAACAATGATACAAAAATGGCACCTCTGAGAGTCAGGGGCACAAAGGTGGGGGTTGTTCCCTAACACTACCCCCCATGACCTGCTAAATTGATTACTTATTTATTATTGTGTTGTTCGTGTTTTACTGTCTGTGCACCTTGGCTCCAGAGAGGAACAACTTGTCGTTCTAATGGCATACTTGAATATAGATGAATAACAACAAACTTGCAGGTGACTTTTACTGTCTGAGCTGCTGTATCAGACTGTTATCTTCCATGATGGCTGTATAAAACTGTATAAATGGCAGAATAATTGTAACTTGATGCTGTCTGAAATTCTTTGAGGCATATGTTTGTCTCAAACAGCATCAGCAACAGATATTTGGTGATGAATGATTTGAGTTTCTTTACATGAACTATATGAATACTCCGCCCCTTTCCACTGATATAAAGTGCTCTTGCTGTGACACGGTTATACGCACAATGAAGAGCTTCACCTTAATAACAGCTTTACTTCTCTGCAGCCTCAGTAAGTACTGCTATTTAATTATTCTGCCAGCAAATACAATTCTAACCTCTCTTTTGTTCAGTGTAGAGGTATGTTGTTGGTTAATCAGCTTGTGAGTAAATCTCATGTTGTCTCTGTGTTTAGGTTGGATCTCTGTCTCAGGTTCTGAGTCTCAGACTGTGGAGGTTCAGCCTGGTGAAAATGTCACACTGCTGTGCTCCAACATTTATAGAGAAACGATTCCTGCAGAGTGGTTCAGAGTGACCAACAGAACCAAACCCAGCTGTATCTCCTGTCTGTACAGTGCTGAAGGGAAAGCTAAATACTGTGATGAATTTCACAATGGAAAATTTAAAATGAGTTACAACATCTCCACTGTTTTTCTTCAAATCAATCGAGTGAATTCATCTGACTCTGGACTGTATTTCTGTGGCTTTTACCTAAACGGACACACCTTCATTTCCACTGCAACATATGTAAATGTTAAAGGTAAGTTTGTAGTAAAGTCTTACCTCTTTTAAATATCTACTTATCCTATCATATTTACAATATATCTCAAACATACTGTCACAGTATGAAAGCAGCATAAAGTCAAAGAAGAAACCAAAACATTTCATATGGTTTGATCATCTTTTAAAGATCATGGTGAATCTGATGATGAAGTGGATTGTAACACTCAAAGTAAGGTCCTTCTTTGCTCTCTTAAGATTATTTTCATTGTGAAAGTTACCATAGAGCCATTCATTTTGATTAAAAGACAGATTAAAAGAGTCTAATTCTACCATGTTTCCAGTAGAGGAGCCTGATGGAATGACAACCCTAATGAGTGTGATCCTCGGTGGTCTGACTGCTGTCCTCACTATAGTTCTCATTGTTCTGGCTGTTAAAATCAGGAAACTTCAGACAGGTAGAGTACATTTATAATTTGTTGCACATCATCTAGTGAGCTGTGTCAACATGACGGACAAATCCAAAGTAAAGTATGTGATCAGTAATAATGAACTAATCAGACTTTTGTCTTTTGTCATTTAGCTGTGAAGGAAGAAGCGCAGCCAGAAAGAAACAAGGTGAACCCACCATTAACTTACACACATTGTGTGTTATGGTTTTAAAGTTGCATTTGAACACATTATAAATCTAGTGCCATATCAGCATGTATAGATTATGTATTATAGATGTAGCATTAGTTCAACATAACGGACAGAACACGTGCCACCTAATATTGATTTTCATTCCGACCAAAATGAGCCATCAGCAGCATGCAAGTGCACGAAAAGAATAGCAAGGATATTTCAGCTCACTATTCTATTTGTATATTTTGTCCAAATTGCCTCACATTATCAGGAAATGAATATCCTAAATGAACTCTCTGATGTCCATTCTAGTAACAACTCTCTTCAGCTGAATTACGAATCCTCTCCAACACTCATGACAGTGATCTTAAAGGCTGAAATCAGGTGTCATCAAATGAACCACACACGTCTTTTTGAGCTTTCCATAATTATTGATCTCAACAAAACAAAAGTCGTTTAGTTTGTTATCTTGAAAAGTCTGCCTTTTGCAATCACAAGCACAGTTGTTCTCGGCTTCCATATTATTCTGCTAGTCTCAAGCTATAATGATATCCATTAATTCATACTCTTAACTCTAATTTCAGCTGCCATCTTCAAACTAAATGGACAGTTGAGGTTTATTAGCTTGAATAAAAACTGTATATTTCAAGCTAAATGTACCATCAGCTCAGCCATAAGATATCCATATACATAGATGGACACATAAAAGTAATTTTCAGCATTTAAATTAGACACAGCTAAACTATTCTTAATGCTCATCTTAAGCTCAGGCCACACTGCCTGCAAGTCTCTGCAGTGATGCTTCACTAGAGAGTCAAAGTCTCGCCTATCTTTTCCACAAGCCACCTGTGCTTCACAGCAACAATAGACAGTGACAATGATCTGTTCATAGTCATATTGACAATAAACTAGCAACATATACACATTTCAGTTGTTTCAATGTCTATATAGGTAGAATATGTCACAGACATGTAGAAAATTATTCTTCTCAACTCAACACCTCCTGTATCTGTTTCAGATTAAAGCTGTTTCTGTGGACAGAATCCCTTCATATGTCAACAGGACTTTTATTGTATTGTATTTATCAAAGGCACACTCAGTGTAGAAATACAGGGCTGGCAACAGCAGCTCTGCAGTCAAAATCTGTCTGTGTGATCACCTCAGGTGTACGAGCTACAGCAGTTGAGCAATGCAGCGATGCTCACACATGCTGTGTGGACCTAGCTTTAGTGGAAATGATTCCCTTGTGGTAAAACCCAGAAATCCACCGATGAGCAAACTCAGCAACAGTGTATGTGACTTTAAATACTCTGATTCACAGAATCTGGACTCAGATGACCTGAACTACGCAGCTCTACGTTTCCAGGCGAAACCAAAAAGAAACCACAGACCTGCACCAGAGAGAGAGCTGGAGACACATGTTGTGTATGCTGCCACCAGATAGACTCAACTGGGACTGTAGCTCTGAGTGGAACTGATGCTTTATCACATTAATCTGCTGTTGTGTTTTTGTGTGTGAGTAGTGGGTGGAAGAATAAACTTTGATTCTGTATTTTCTTGCACGTCTCTTTCTGTCTCTCTCTCGGTCAAAGTGTCTGTCTTGCTTGTGAGAGGAGGGAGGGGTTAGTGAGGTACACATCAATTATTTGACAGGAAGCGACAGCACAGTGTGGTCTGAGAACAACTGAGGTGAAAATCACGAGGTCTCTGAAGCCAAAGCTCGATGGAAAGTACAAGAGGGAGCAGTGAAAACTAACTTCTTTTGACAAAACTCAACTAGCTGCCAGCGGGTATAAAGTGCAGCACTGTGACACAGGAATCCAGGATTCTTATCCAG